ACAAGGTATGCAAACACAAAGAGACCATATCTTAGTGTGCAAGGTCTGCATCTTCTGTGTTTAAAGTGCAAAAGGTTTGAGCAAAACTTATGAAAGAAATCAGTAAATCTGATTTTTTAGTTTGTTCAGTTAATGAACCATGGGTAAACTGTGAAATAGTTCTCTTAGATAAATTTGAAAAATCTGCTGAACCCAAAAAATGATATCAATAAAAAAAAATTTTCAAAACATTTAAGATTTGCAATTTTGTTTGAAATAAACAATTCTTCAAAAAGTTTTTGAAACCTTAAAATATAACTTTCTTGACCCTAAACTTTGATTTTTGGCAGAAACCATAAATTACCTGTTTAGTAGGAAAGATTTTACTCAAAATCTTTAAAAATTAAAACCTTTTAACCTTTTCCTGAATGTTGTAGCATAGTCAAGTTTCTAAAGAACAGCAGAAAAAAAATTTGAACATTTGATCAAACTGGAATGGGAGGCAAATAGGGTAGTTCCAACTTCTTTCCTGTGTTTTTTGTAGTTAATTTAGATAACTTTTTTCAAATTTGTATATGAAATGTTAAAGACAAACATGTTAACTTGGCTGCTTGGGTAAGGCTACGAAAAATGAGTTAAATTTCTTCTTAAGTTATTGTTTTCTGAAAGGAAAAGGATTCTTAGATATTTTGCTTTTAGGAAAGAGTTAGTAAGCTGAATATGAACAAGAAACTTAGATTTGTACATTTTATTTCTATTTAAGTTATTTGCATTTTACTCATGAACATTAAATTCCCAAGATTTAATATCTAAGTAAATTTTAATTCAATTCTTTCCTATTGTTGGTTACTGGCAATTCTCATGCAAAATGTAATAACCCCCCTGAAAAGTTTGCACAAACCAAAGAAAAGGACTGATCAGCAGATGTGCAAATAAGATGAGCCATTCATAACAAAATGATTATTTGCATGCAATGTGTAAACTTTCATTTGGTTGGCACCAAATCTTATTTTGTACAAAACTACACTTTGGAAGCATTTGTAAACAAACATTTAAAAGAAAATGATTTGTTTTTTCATTTTTGTTTCTCTTGCAGGTTTGATTCTACCAACTGAGGTCTTAATAAAAGAATATTATGTTCAATTTTAAGCCTGAGTAGAGGATGATGTAGTTGCATTGTTCCAAGAAACCTGGAAAAATTGTTTAAAATCAAACTGTATTTAAGATACATTAGTTTTTAGGTCAAACAGCTTGGTAAGTATTGCTAAAAGTTAAGGAATCCAATATAATTCAGCTTACTGGATCAATTAGAACAAGATTGGTGATATTCTTGAAAGACTATAGAGGTTCCAGGTCATGATGTGTAGACGCTATAGGTTTGTTCTCCTCTTTGCTGTTGTAAATTCTACACATATTTAGAACCCTTAGAAGAATCATTGAAAACCAAATTCTGTATATCTTAAATCAACAAGGATTAATACTTAGCGACTACCCTTCCAGTTAATGACTTAACATTAGTGCAGAATACCTCATTCGTGCTGGGAATGGCCAAGGAAAGGAGTTAAAAGTGTATTTAAATGTTGGTCAAATGATTAATGGTTGTTGAGCTCTCTTGATGTTAACAGACATCATAAATAAAAGTTTTAACCATTACACCAGAGGTTGAGTTTAAACCCCATTGCTGAACCACATAAAACCAGTTCAATTAAGTGCTACCTTATGTCTTGAAACTCTAAATACAATGTCTAGTGGAACAAAACATGTTTGAGCTGTGTTTTAAATTTGAGATGGAGCTTAAATTCTTTAAATTTGACATGAGACCACAGAAGATAAGGAAATTTCTTAAAATATTAAGAATACAAAAAATTTGACCTGGAAATTAGGTTTTGAATTTAGTATTAAAACATCTTACACATAGAAATGATTTACAAAAAACAAGCATCCAGCTCCCATGACCAGGATGCTAGCTAGAGCACTAATTGCTGTAGTTTTCTTGCGAGGTTTGTTGGAGGAGGCAGCCTCAGTTTTCAGCACCTGAAGTAGCTAGTTTGTAAGTTATAGCTATAGCTGAGCAACGATCCTTTAAAGAACAGCAAGTTTTTGAAAATAGAGAAAGATTCCATTAACAAATGGTAAAAATAATTATCAAACAGATTGTTCAGTTCTTAGAAAAAAATGTCAATGCAGAAAATTTGCAGACAACATCTTAGAAATGGAAGAAATGGAATTATTTTTTGATTTTGTTTCATTACAAATATTGCTAAATTTAGGATAATAAATGAATGTCTATTTTAAAGATCAAAGACAACTTTCAAGTTTTCTCTGAAATGTTAAGAAATTCTGGTTCTTAAAGAATATCACTGTGAACAATTGCATACAGTAATAAGCAGTAATAAGAGGGATAAATTGTCCTTATTTATTTGCCAAATAATGTTTAATTTGTTTTTATTTAATAAATCTAAATAAAATCCCTAAAAGAACAGGCAAACATACAAAGACAAGCAAATAATTAAATTCATTTCATATATCTGTGTAACATTCAACATTATACTGGGCTTAAAATCATCAAATTAAAAACCACCTGTCTGAATTTGTACCATTTCACAAGATACACGCTTATCTGAATAAATTCAAAACTGTTTTAATCAAGAAATAGAAAATATATGTAATATCTTAAACTGAATGAAAAAATGGTTTTAAAAAAGACATAATCAACAAAAATCTGGTTCATTGGAAATCTGTAAATTTGTAATTGTAAAATATTTGGTCCAACTTGACTTTTGTTTCAAGTTTAAAATTTGTTAAAATCCTAAATAGCCCTTCTCAGAATATATATTGTGTAAAGGGACTGTGGTTGTAATTCCTGGTTACCCTCCATTATTATCTAAAGTGGCATGTCCTATTTAATACAGTACCCTTGACAATTTTGGCTAATCAAGAAAACATGGGACGTCCAAGTGAGATTAGCCATTTAAAAAAATATTAATGGTTAAAAACAAAACAAAACGAATGGTATATTATAAAATGGCAACTTTCGTTTCTTCAGGTAAAATTGCATCGCACTAGCAAAAATTTTTTTTTTTTATGTATTTTGATTTTCTTTAAATATTTGATGGATCTTTTTAAGATTTTATTTGTAATTTGGTGATGCGGCTTGTACACTAAATCCAATTTGATAGGCATGAAAGATTTTTTTAAGGAGATTTTGAAGTGTTGGAAGACCCTTAACATTATTAATATTGAAAACAACTGTTAATAGCTTGCACAGTTAATGGACATTACATTCTTTCCGTTAAAACTAAAAGCTAAAGCATTTAAAAAAGATCCAGCTTTGCTTGCTGAATTTTACAGTATACTTGACATTTTTTTATTTAATGGTTAGAACTCGCTATTTTTTGTCCTAGCACTTTCATTTTTTACACTATCACTGTGAAATTTTGTGACTTTTCATGAATACTAATTTAAAGGATTTTTTGTTAAAATTTTTTATTTTTTATTTATAGGGTACAGGGTGGAAAACCCTTGAAAAATGCATGTAGAAACATGTGTCACACTTTGATATTTGTTTGAGACAAAATAAATATTTTTTTGACTCTATAAATGTCTCTTTATAATTTACTAGTTTAAGGGTCCTACAGTTTAAACATTGCTTGTTAATAAGAATAAGGTTTAGAATTTAACCTGGTAGATGATGGTGAACAAGATGTAAGTTCCTATGGTCATGGTAATTATAAGGAGAAGGAATCAATTATAATGTAATTTTAGGCGACCATTGAGTTAAAGATTTACTTGCATTATTCACAATGTGTACTTTTTTTACCCTTTCCGATCTAAATAATAAATTATCTTTGATATTTGTATAGTTATGATGATGGTTCTCAATTTTAGATTGTTGAGTAATGATATTCAGTGAAATTGAAAATTAGAAAAAGTACCAAAGATAAAGGTTAAACAGTTTTTACTCTTAAATGTCACCGGGAATTATGTTGACTGTTCTTTAATGTTTCTCTCTCCATATAACTCCTTGGCTTAATGCTTGAGTACGGGGAACTTCAGGTAGAGAATAGAATAGTTCCTCAGATGCCATTGCATAAACTATCCCTCCCTGAAATTAATCACATACTGAGATAAATAATAACACTATCTACTAAAGTGTTAAGGCCATATCTATCAGATGTGCTGTGGAAAATCTAATTTTATTACTGTTATAATTGCAGATTTGAAGATACAGCTTCCAGAATTAAAAACCCAAATAGTAAGAACTTAAATGTTAACTTAGATTAACTCTTAACTTAACGCTACCAATAAATATTTATTAATCACCTAAATCAACAAGTTAAATACATAACCCCAGTATTGCAGAATACGAGCATTTTCTATCAATTGATCATGATTCTCTACACAATGATGCAGCGTTTACTTAATCATATGACCCATTATATGAAGAAATAAGAGTCTTGGATTAAGTTTAATTTAACCTTGAATTCATTATCAAAAAATTCTTTAGTTTTAGACTCTCTATAACCAAAAAGATGAGATAAGAGATAAAGTAAAAAGAGTTCATCAGGATTTAAAACCAATGTTACCTTTGCCATAAGGGGGAAAACATCTAGCCAAGCCATGATCAAATCAAAGCAAATTGATCCCAGCACATGAAGCAAGATAACCTAAATTATTAGATTAAAAGACTTCCAGGTGCAGGATTTCCCTCCTGGCAAATTTTTTGAAATTTTGGGCAAATTTGCTTGTGCAATTGGTACAGACTGTCACAAACTTAATGTACAATTAAGCTCAACAAAATTTTGCGCAAATAATAATTTTCTGCTACTCTGCTCACTTTATTTGCAAGCTTACTTGGCATTTATTATTAGTTTTCAATTGTTCTCATATTTTATGACACAAATTGAACTAACAATGTTCGTGTAAGTTGTGCCCCATTTGTGAAAAAAATTTTTGCTTTTAATTTTTCACAATTTTCTGGCACAAAAAAACTAGCCAATTTGGGCAGAAAATAATTATTTCCAAAAAAATTTCATAAAAAGGGACATTTTTCAAATATGAATATCCTTAATTCTACACTTGCAGAGTCATTTTGATATTAATTAGTTATGCTGGTTTACTTTTTTAATTTGTCTCATTTGTTAAACTTAAAAATACATACAAAAATTTAAAGAAATTACCAGTATTTTATACAAAAATTGTTCTGCAAGTGTCAAAAAATTGTCTTTTAATAGATTGTCATAGGAATCAGTAAATAATATGTCAAGAACGAACATTTACCAGTTTTCCGAATTTCAGCATACTTGCGTCGGAAATATCCTGAAATAGAAATATGTGTGTGTACACCATTAATTAAGAGAGAGCTCATATGAAGGAATGTTATAAATTTTTGACATAGTTCCTTCCATGTTCATATACAACAAGGACCTTTATCTAGATCGTTCATTTTACATTTGTTCTTTTCCATATTATTCTCTTCTAAACATTTTAATTCCGTTTTCTGAATTTTTCATCTGCCAAAGATTGTCTTGATTTGGTTGGTGTTTGCAAACTGTACTGTTGTTAAACGGAGAAAATTTCTGTACACAAACAAAGTACATTAGTTTCTACTCTTTTTCACTGATAAAATATTTGTAATGCAGAAAAATCATATAAATGGAAAATGACCAAGCAGCTGGTTAGCGTTCCTATGGTACTACCTGAAATGTTCGACATTGCCTATGGAATTTTATAAAACTTTTTTAAAAATTTCTAATTTTGAAAAAAATAATAATTATCCAAAAAAATTCCATCTTTCAAAAATGTCAGCTAATTTGGTACAGCCGTTTGGCCAGCTATAGCTAACATGTATACATATATATATTCAATTTATTGTTTAATCAGAAGAACAGATAAACATCCTCATGCACAATGTTTCATGGACCAATTGTCATGGACCAAGCTTCAGTGAGGTCTGTTCTCGACTGCAGAATATTTCAGTATTTTTTCTGCGTATTTTCAGGAAAGAGTTGGCGGATTAGTGTTCTTTGAATTTATTATATACATTCATTACATCCTACAGATACATACATGATATATATATGAGCAAAGAGCTTTATATTCTATATAGATATACTTTTAGTAACATTATTTTGCATTGACTTTATTAAAAGAAATAGACTTCAAGTGAATTTCATTATAAACTAGTCTTTCAGCTTGCTGTGTGTCCCTTTCCTGTAAATAATTATAAACTAGTCTTTCAGCTTGCTGTGTGCCCCCTTTCCTGTAAATAATTTTTGGTTTTAACTGTTGCTCTGAAAGTTGGCCATTATAAACTTTCTATTTTAGCAGATTTTTCTAATTGGGGCATTTAAAAAAAAGATTAAACTTTTTTCAAGAATTTTTTTTTCTCCAATTTTGTTCCATAAACCTTCCCTTGGGCCGGTCAACAATTTGATTTGAATCTATACCTGTATAATAAGGATGTTTAAGAGGTAGAAATATCGTATTGTGGTAACCATATTCCATAAACCCATGCTTGAGTTAAACATAAACTAAACAGAGTAAACATATTCTATAATAGCATGCTAGAGTTAAACATAATCTAAACAGAGTAACCATATTCCATAAACCCATGCTGGAGTTCAATTTAATCTAAACAGAGTAACCATATCCCATAAACCCATGCTGGAGTTAAACAGAATCTAAACAGAGTGACCATATCCCATAAACTCATGCCGGAGTTAAACAGAATCTAAACAGAGTAACCATATCCCATAAACTCATGCTGGAGTTAAACATAATCTAAATAGAGTAACCATATTCCATAAACCCATGCTGGAGTTAAACAAAAACTACACAAAACCAAATCAACAGTATTATTAACCTAGATTTGTTCATGATTGATAACTGTATCATAAACCATCCTTGGGATTAAGAAGTTAAGACCAATAATAGTTAAGCATTGTTAATAATTAGAAAGGGTTATAATCAACCCGAGGCTGAATTTAAAGAATTTGAGAGTCGGCTTAAATTTAAACCGTGGCTCAAATATGGTTGGTTCCACTTAAAATTGTATGAAGTTTTTTCAAGATTTAAGCCGAAGCTCAATTGAAACCGGTTTTAGGGTGATTTGAGACCCGGCTTAAATTCATTAAATTCGGACACAGTGTTCATGATTCCCAAGGGTACTAACTAATAAGATTACAATTCAACATCTTCAACAATTAAGCACAGAAAATTTAACTATTGTTAGCAGTTAACTATTGTTAGCAGTTAACTATTGTTAGCAGTTAACTATTGTTAGCAGTTAACTTATGTTAGCAGCTAACTAAAGTCAACTATTAAATATGGTATCAATCAGCCATTGTTCTTGATTAATTAATGATGATTAGAATAATAGCAACAAATCAAACAAATATTGTTAACCATAAACTATCAATTCAGCAAAAATGCTCTTACTCTTGCGGTTACCACAACAACATAAGTGAAGAAGTAGTTGAACTCGCCAAAGATATCTCTGATGATCCAGAAGCTTGTTCCAATCCAGGGAATCAACTCTCTAAAATACTTATTCCATTGAAACTGGACCATCAACTGGATGAAATTAATTTCAGATAGGGCTAGAGATGGTTCAACCACATATCTTGAATCAATAATTCAGAATTTTTCCATGTTCTATAGATTTAAACTCATTGGTATTAAGTAGTCCAGACAGAGTAAAAAGTTAGAGGACCTAGCTCAAATTCATTAAAACTTATCCAAGAAGTCAAAACATTTATGTTTTAAATCTTGGGATCAAGCATTGATTACCATCTAATGCAGAACTACTGATTTATGTATTTCCTCTTTAATATCTAATGGTCGTTATACTCTGCTGTGATACCTTTAGTTTTGGGATCAAGCATCCTCAATTTTATAAGTACCCACAATTGATATTGAAACCACTGCAAGGGCTCAAGATGACTTTCCACACAAAAGGTTTGACCTCAAAAAGGGTTAACAACAATGACTAGTTACAAGACGAATAAAAAACTAAGTGTAACACAAAGTTTTTCTTTTTTCAAAACTAATCGATCAAGATGGATGATGCAAAAACAACAAGAAGAAAATGGAGATTTAGAAAAAAATCCAAATATTTGCAGCTGCCATCATCTAATTTTTTATAGAAATCTGTTAAATTTAAATTTAAAAAAGAAAAGTATATTTAAAGTTTACACACTGTAAAATTTGAGATTGTATATTTTATTCAATATTTCG